GTCCACACCTACGTCCCCAGATACTGGGACAGTAGCAACAATAAGGCAGTGAACTGGAGTTTATTCTGCCATGCCCACTGTCTCAAGTTTACTTTCCCTCAGGTCCCCGGAAGTGTCACCCCCTGCTCTACTGACCTTTTTCTCCAGGCCAAGAAATACCTAGCAACAATATAGCCCTATCTTTACCACCACATTCCCCCTATGACTGTACCATTGATCTCCTTCCTGGCGCCATGCTCTCCACTCATACAAGCTTTGTATGAGTGGAGAGGGAGGCGATGGAGAAATGTATCAAGGAGTCATTGGCGGCAGGAACAATTTGCCACTCTACCTCCCCAGTAGGGACAGAATTTTTGACAGGCAATGGAAGTCTCATACTGCTGACCTCCGACTATGAAAAATGCCAGGGGTATCCCACCTTTGAGACTGCAGCACAAAGGCCTTGCTGTCCAGGCCTTTGTTTGAGGGCTCCAACCAAAAAGACTGCAGGAACACATTCACCTATATGTACCAAAAAATTTAACAACAGCCCTCATTGAAACAGTACGAGCTGAACATGTGCTTGGCTCAGAGGAATATACCTTCAGCACAAGTCATTGAGTGCGCCAGGCAGACTGTGAGGGGAGCAACAACAAAGAAATGACCCACCAAATCTCCAGTATGCCCCCTCGATGGCCACAATGGGGGACTTGAAGAGCTCCCTGGCAAGCTAGAGGTGAATGCTACCAGTGTGGTTAGCTGGGCCACATCGCATGCTACTGTCCAGCACCGAGTGCATAAACCCCAGCACCACAGTCAAAGTAAGGTTGGGTGGCATAAAGTAGGAACTGCCACCCACAACAAACCCTCCCAACCTCACTAAGCCACAATTGCAGGTTGGTTGGGTTGGCGTCTAGAAGCCGGGTCCAGACTGTCCCTGGTTGGCACTAGTACCCTTCCCGGTATTGATGGCCCAAGTCCACAGGATTTGAAGCCCACAGATCTCCGTATCACAGCAGTCACTGGTGAACGGGCCAGAGTGGTAGGAAAAAGATCTCTCCAGATAACTGTTTCTACCTGCACTGTTGACCACAAGTTCTGTTTAGCCAGCATACAAGACCCCTGCATCTTTGGTCCAAATGTGCTGACCAAATGGGAAGCCACAGTGGATGTACCCAGAGCTACTCTATATTTGGGCACTAAGGCTGTGGAACTTCACACCACGGAAGAAGTGTGGCAGCTTGTTCCCACCTCTAAAGCCAGTATTGGAGAGCCTGAAGTATAACCATGTTGTAAGCACAGGAGGGGTTTCCACTGACCCCTCAAAGGTTGCTAGGTCTCCACCACTTCTGACCATATTTCTATGGGAAGAAATTACTTCTGCCCACTGACCACGCCTCTCTCACCTCGCTCCTGAATTTTAAGAAACCAGAGGGTCAGCTGGCTGGGTCACTGGAGATGCTGCAAGTCTGGTTGGCTCCACCTTAATGAGGTTTGTACCCGACCAGAGTGCTGCTACCACAGCTGAGCGTCTGGTCAATGAGATGTTCTGTCACTTTGTTATACCCAAGGAACTACACAGCAATTAAGATTGAAATTTTGAGGATGCAGTGAGTGATGGGCTGGTGGAGCACTTTACCCACACACTGGCCACCCAGCTTGCCATGCTTCCTGACCAGAAGCAGTTAACATTTTCGAGCTGAGAATTAGGATTTCCATCAGGGCACGTTGTGTTGTCACGGCGACCATAATTAGGCCAGGATTTGGCTAAAACCTGTCCTTTACCTGAGGAAGAGTTCATAGAGTCAAACTGTAACCTTGACCTCCCGCCAGCAGCAAAAGTGGGACAGGCACCTCCCCCTTGTAATAATGGCCTACTGCATGTCAGTCCAAGAGTCTACTAAGCGTACTCCTGCAGCCCTAATGTTTGGACATGAGCTTCGTACTCCAGTGGACTTGACAACTGGGCCTCTGTGGGAGTTGTGCAGTGAACCCAGATTGGACTACCTTCACAATCTCCATGAACGGTCACGTGAGGTACAAGAGCTGACCAGACATGGCCCCCTTGAGGTAGGATCATGGGAGAAACAAGTTTATAATATTTGCTGCAGGGGGGAGGTCTTGCACCTGGGCAGCAAGTGTAGGTTTAAAGCCCAGAGAGGAAGAAAGGCCTTTTTCTTAAACTGATGAGCCAGTGGGTTGTCATGATTGTCTTGGACCTTTCCAGCCCTTGATGCCATGTGATGGTGGGTCAGGGCCCCAGTTCCAACCCCAGACTCAAAACCCAACTAAGTGAGGGTTTTGTGGTGTGTTGGGAGTGGCTAGATGTAATCTCCCATCAGGCTTCTGGTAAACTGTGCTTTGTGTTAAGTTTGAGAAAATTGTGTTTAGCTGTATCTGTTATTGTTGTGTAACTCTTTTAGTCTAGTCTTAGTGTTACATCATGAGTAAAGTTATGTGGAGGGTTTTATATCCTTTTGGAAACATAGTGTTAGGGTGTCTTCTAAAATGTGAAGAAATGAGGTTCCCCTTGTGCCTCAGTGGGGTAAGAGGATAATCTAAAGAGCCAGCATATAATTGTGAGGCCCAATCTATATAATTCCTCAGCTAGCCACAATATGATTTAATTTGGTAATTTAACTTGTTTGCTACTGTGCTTACTGTCTCGGACCAACTGTGACCACATCGTTTCTTCTGGGATTAATAAAGTCTTCTGATTCTATTTCAGAGTAGGATCCAATTCGATCTTCCCTTCAATCTTGACTATACCAAACTTCCACTGAAATGTAAGAATATCAATTTGTGACCTTTTCCCTTCTGTTTTATTTTGTTAGTCTTTGTTTTGTCAATTTCTGTATTGCATCTAAGTTTTTTGTTTTAGCTTTGTCTCCACATTATAATTTTATCTGTTCTTTTTGACTTTCCGTTTGAATTTTACTTCTAAGTGCTTTTTCAAAGGACTTTGTAAACTTTAAATGTACTTTTATTGCACTCAGTAATGATAACCACCAGGGGTCGGCGTTTTAAAAGGTCTATTCACATGTGTTCATCTCTTAACTTCAGATGGTTGTTCAAGAACTGTTACACTGATTTACTGCACCATCTTGTGGTATAAAGTGGTAGCTTGGACTTATCTAATCTTCAGTTGGTAAACACAACGTACAGATGTTCTGGACATAAACTCACAGCTGTGAATTCTCCACATTCTGTCGATGTTCAGGAAACATCAGTGAATAAAACACAGACATAAGTGAAAACAATCAACAGTGATGCTCCGTGCAGGAAAAAGAGGTTGAACTCTAAGCTGTTTAATAACTTTATTTATTAATTTTTATGTACAATTTTCATTTTCATTATCTGACATGATAACCTGATGTAAAAAATGATGCTGATATATTTTCAAGATCTTTTTCATAAATGTGATTTCAATCTTTTAGGATCTGGAAACAAAATGATGATGATCAATCTTTTCACACAGAAAATGATAATCTTTTAAAAATTATGAAAGATTATCATTTTTATTCACTTCAAAAATATCTGAATGTACAGACCCAAAAAGATACTACTACTACTAGCTACTTACCCTGACAAGTGTAAAGGGTAAAAGGGAATAAAATGCCTTTTGTCATTATATAATCTGCGGTATAATCATTGCTTTAACAATGTAACAGAAAGCTTTAAGATGGCCTTAAAATGTTTACGGTTATCATATTAACCTTTTATTCCAGATGATTCATTGTTATCTTTTATTCATTTATATCTTTTCATTAAGCTTTGAAGTAGTGGCATTCATTTACAGCATTTATTCCATATATTATATATATATAGTTTTAGTAAACTGCTAACACATTTGAGGGTAGCTTCTGTTTGACTGTGAGCGTTAGTGGGTGAGGTGAGAGGTGAAACTGAGTGCATTTCATGCCGACACACACACACGCACACACACACACACACACACACACACAC